GAGCACTGTGCGGGTTTCCTTTCTTTTTTGTTGCTCTTGTATGATAGCTTACTGTTTTGAGAGGCGATCGACCATATCATTTTTGGTTTATGATTTGGTCTCCCGCCGTGTCGGCATTCGACGAGACACCAGAAGATCCCCCCCTTCAGTGCGGTCGGCGAAATGTGATGTGCACACCACCTAGGTTAAATAAACGCGCGTACTGGAGCGCCACAAGGGTAACCGGCATTAAAAATATAGAAAGTCGTGAAGTGGACACAAGCAATTGGCAATCATCAAGGGAACACCGCTATTTATCCGTCCCCGTTTCAAAATGGTGGTGTAGTGGGCCGCTCAGGGATAAACGTGCTCGAGGATGCACCAGCATGGTATTGGATGTGGTGCCCTCTCTCTCTCTGCATTAAACTAGCCGATAACAATACCGTACCGACTTACTGGTTACAGCTGCAGATCCACAATTGACTGCATTGCATCTGGTACGAGTCAGAAAGTGTGAGAGATGGATAAAATAGGATGGGCAGAAAAATAAGGGTAAAAATAGGAAACAACAGGAGGGATAAGAGAACCCTATGAGAGAGGAAAACACGCCATTTGCGCTGATCAAGCTGGGGCGAAAAAGTGTGAGCAGTGGCGCTTTGATTCTCGACCCATCACGCAAGCCGTTGATACAAGTATTCCTTATGAATCCAAGGGACCTCCCCGAGGGGTTTTTACGTTTACGAAAGCCTGCGGGATATAAATTTCTCGAAACTGTAAGGAAACCGCTAGCCGGTGTCGCAAAAGTGGGCCTCTAGCCCGTGAACGGTCTCTCCCCCCCCCCCCTCCCACCATGAGACGAAGGAGAGGGAGTTCGTCCGCCTTCACTACCGGTATTAGATGCAGGCACGGTGATCATCTAGCGCACCTCCCGTTCCGATAGACCCTGTCAGGCAGGTTTTCCTATGACTTCTCGAGGCATATCCATATGAAGAACCTGAAAACGAGAAGAGGGGGTACGAGGGGGCAAAAAGAGCTGTGCGGGCGGGGCTACGATTTGTAAACCTTCCTTGCCAGAGGGGTGCACCCAAGATAGGATGGCACCGTAATGCACGCCTGCGGCAAGGAGGAGAGCGGAGATTGAATCAAAGCTCGCCTGCAGTTTGGCTGCATGTCGGGTTTGAGCAATCGCCCGCTCCGTTGGTTCCATGTTGTTGTTGATAAGCGACTCGAGATGGCACCCTTGACCCATCTCAGGGCTTGGAGGGAGGAGTGGGGCCGAGGAAACCACCGTGCTAAGGTATTATGCGATTTGGCCAACCAGTCCAGAATAAGAACAGCCCGGGCAGTGATGGTGAGCCGTGAAGGGGTGGACGGATGGATGATGGATGACGAGGAAGAGGAGATGAATAGGTGCGAAGAAGGAGAGCCCTGTCGGGGAACAGGAAGGATTGTAGAGGATGCTGCAACCCTACTGAATTGCCCCACAAAATGGGGTCTGGATACGCGATATGTATTAAGTTTCCTGATGCCCAACCCGTCCTGCAAAAAGAGAGGATTCTTGGAGGTTAGTTCGTTTTAGATGTGAGATTTTTTATTTTTATTTTTTTTAGAGATGAGGAGAGATAGGGTCAGCCAGGATTGAAAGCTGTAGGTACTCGAGTGAGAGGTACCAGAAGGAAAAGGTTTGCCATGGTTGGTGCCAGTAATTTCTTCGGCGGTACCAGATGGCTGGGTAACAATACAAGCACAGTAGAAATAAGGATCCGGGATGTACCTTCCCGAGTTTGTTTGCCGCGCTTATCATTTGGCGGCGAATTGGCCAGTAGACTAACGGGATATTCCGATAGGGAACGGGGACGCTACCGGTAGGCTATCTTTGTGTGGCGCAACCCAGCCGAAACATCGGACCAGACAGAGGCCGAAAGGTCGTGGATTCAGTCAAGTTCCCAGCCGTGGCACGGAGGGAAGCAAAAGCACTCGCTTGCTAGCCAATCTAAGACAGTCCGAGTGAATTCCGTCATTGCAAGCGAATTTCTCTCTACTGTAGCGGGAACCAGAACACCATCCTACGGTACGGTACTAGTACTCGAGTACGAGTACCGTACACACAGACATGATGTGTGCGCAAGCCTTGGCGCAATGCGGTCTGTGTGCTTGCAGTGCAATGAACTAGGAGCAGCAAGATTCTGGCGCCGCCGTATATTCGAAACCTTCGAGAGCGGTTCGGGGGTTGGCTGTGCTCGAGCACGGCATTCATAAGAGAGGGTATTATATTTCCTACACGCGAGTACCGGAAATGTGGTGCAGCTCCATTCCCTCTCCGGAGAACCCTCGGGGTGCGGAGTTTGCAGCTGTACTCGCTCCGGCATGGGGAAAAAAAAAAAGGAGAACGTTCTGTATCATACTAGTACATACTCATACTCATCGAACGGGGAAGTCGTTCCAAGGTGGCCGCTACGGTACAAGGAGCTTCGAGTTCAGTTAGGTGCTTTTATGCGGCTGATAACATCGAGCGCCTCGCAGCGCCGACACACGAACCGTTGCTATTCGTCCCTATCTCTGACCCCTGCCGACTTGCATCCAATCCCAGCAACTTCTTCGACCCGTGGAGGTACAATCTGTTATGAACCCCACGTACTAATGCTCAATCGCATACCAGCTTTTCTTTTCATTCCTTTCACCTACCGGTACGGGTATTCAGGCCTCCGGACATAGCACCCGCTGCTTGTACAGTCTGTTATAATAATAATAATAATTTATTTGTTCGTGTTATTTTATTCTTCCATTCCTATTTCGGCCTCCCAAGGGTGTTGCAGATAGCGACTCGGTCGGCCCTAATTCAAGTCTCAGCTCCTGTTGACATTCCCTTTGCGGCTTGCCTAGTCGATGGGATACCGTAGTTACAGCAGCAGAGCTCCCCCGAGCATCAAAACGCAGGTTGGTGGTTAGTCTACTGGTATTACCGGTATGCCCGGATCCTACTGCTGGGAAACGATTCGTGGGATATTGAAGCCAATTGCTGGTCTTTGGTTTGCGCCTCCCCGGCGAGAACGCTGAGAACGTCACTCTATTTTTTATGACCGTGCCTTTTGCGTGGTGGATTGGGAAAAATAGGACGGAAATAGGAAAAATGCGAATATCCCACCAACCAACTACGAGGGCACATCTTCCATTCCTCTGGGGAACAGGCCGGCTCCATAGGCCCGTTTCAGACTAAATTGGTGCCGTTTCTAGGATATCGTATTCATTCTCTATCAACGATAACCTCCTCCTCCTCCTTCCCGCCTAACGTCCTTTCTGAAGGATGTTACATCAGGAGTCAGAGCGCGGCGACCGACACCCATAAAAAGACGTTGAGAGTAGCTGAGTGAGCAAAAGAGAGAGAGAGCGGACACCTCGTATGTATGCAGCGACTTCTGTGTCTAGACAACAGGAGAGTGAAACCTCAAAAGAAAAAAAAAAAGAATCGAAAAAATCATCAATACTAGCAAGCGTATTTCCACTATAACCAATAATATTGGACCAATCGATGGACTGCCACCAGATAGAGAATGGTTGCCGGTCCTCGAGTACGGTAGAGAAAGGAGACATGGGGCAAAACGTGTGGATAGATAGGGCGTTTTTGGCAGTTGTCTCACCTGCGCTTCGACTGCCTGCATGCAGTTTGTGTCCATTCCCTCACTCTTTTCTCGCTCCGTTTGTGTGAGGGAGAGCGGTTCCTTGGAGGCAGGATGTGAGGTTGCAGGATCTGGGGGGTGGGTGTATGGGAGGGCCGTAAACGATGATCCTGTCTGGGCCCGACTTTGAAGTGGAGTGTGGCTGCGAGGATAGGAAAAATTGGACCGTTGTACATGGGTCCACCACATCCCTAACTCTCTTATCCACCCTCCGATTTTTATTTTTATTTTTATTTTTATTTTTTTTATTCTTTTTTCTTCACAATTTTATTTTCGCCTCTTCCTCACCCGCAGTCAAGCTTGCTACGCTTCACCGCGCAACCAGGCTCGAATCGAATCAGGGTGAGGTGGGGATAGTCAATGAATGATACGGCAGGTAGGTGGCAATTACTATACCGTACGGTACTGGTGGTGGTGAAATTGGGCTCCCAGTCCGAGTACCATAGGGGACGGATGTCACGGTAGACTAGCGGGAGTCAAAGGGGCAGGGCGAAGGGTGGGGGTTTTGCTTTTCATGGAGCAGGAGTGAACATTGTACTGGACTTGGGTTGGGTTGGGTTGACTTTTTTTTTTCTAGGTTCAATATTGGGATTAGTGAGAACGGGTGCAGAGGACAACAAAGAGTGAGGACACAAGTATCATGTACGAGTAGTGCCAGCGGTAGGCGTAAAGCAGCAACGAAGTGGACAAAAAAAAGAACCAGAGCCACCACAGGTCCGAAAGAGCAGCGGACTTTACTCTCTCTCGCTACAACGGGCATCGCAAACAGGAGGGTGGTGGGGGAGCCAGGAATTTCAAGACGCTGCGTGCAGGCAGTTGAGCGGTCGAGGAGGTTGGCTGGCTCTTCGAGAGCCCGGGGGGGCGGTGGGTTGGGGGGGAGGGAGTGGATGGGTTGGCTATTGTGTGTGGGCGAGGTTGCTTGCTTTGCCTGCTCGTAGCAGGAGCAGCAGCAGAGCCTACCTGGCATAGTACGGTAATTCCTGGCAAGAACCGCTTTGGCATAGTACGACGGCCCACCTTGCGTTTCCATCACGAACTGTGTACTGTACGAGTACTGCGGACGGGCTCACGTTTTCCTTTTTCTTTCCCTTTTTTTTTTTTTTTTTCCTCGCCGACCCCCCTGCTCACCTCTTTTTTCCCTTTTCTTTTGGCCATTCCCACCTATTTTTCTGCCCTCTTCCTCCCTCCGTTTCTTCTCCCCATCACTCTACAAACGAGACCGCTCGCCCCCCTCCCCCTCCCTCCCCACCCCCTCCCCAGAAAGGCCGTTGCTCGCCTACTACAAATCCTCTGGGTTCCCCCGAATTGCTCGCTCTGCCTGCCACTCGCAGCACAGGGCCCCAAGAGCGATCCTCTTCCCCCCCCACCACCCGCTACAAGAGCACCTCGAAATCCGTTCGCTTGCTGAACGGTTCCTGTCTGTAGTTGTCACGACGATTGGCTTCTCCGTGACTACTCTCTCTTCAGACAGAGTGCACTCCCCATTTCGATCCTTTGGATTTCCTTCCACCGTAGCAGGGTTAGGATCTCGATCGGACTCGGATTTGTGTTTGCCTCCCAGCAGCTTGCTTGCATCATCAAGGTGTGTGATATCACCCCGCCACGGGAGAAACCCCCCAGAAATGGTGCCCGCGGATAAAGATATTTAATCTTCATCATGGCCGTCACAGTCTAAAAAGTTGTTGGCAGTGCTAATTGAGTGTCTTTATAGGCATTTAATTGTTAATATTCTTTTTTTGTTCTCGAGTTTCGTTGTTTTCTGGTTTTCTGCTTCTTTCACTTCTCTTCCCTAACGCCTTGACGAGTTTTCCGAAGAAAATTTCCTGGCAAATCCACGCATTCCTGGTCCTCCCCTTCTCGTCGGTTTATAATTTCTTTTCCTCGCCTCCGGTACATATAAGGGACAACCGAGAAGATGCCTTACACCCCACCGAGCCAGTCGCCGGCCACTTCCCCGGCCACCAGCAGGTCGAGCTCAATATCACTACATGACACAAGGCCGCCGGCAACAACAATGTCGAACATGGTCATGAAATCAGGCAATCCTCCTCGCTCAGCAACATACCTATACAAGAATCGACGAACACCGCCGATTACCTCTCCCCAGAGCCCTTCAATCAATAACCAATACCTCCCTTTGAGGCCGTTAGTACAGCATAGGCATGGCGACTCGAATGGTAGCATTCACAGATCACCGGCTCCTGTAGATAATGGGATGTCAATGCCAGCTGGTGCCATCATTTCGCCACCCGATTCGTCACAGAACTCTAGTGACGAGGAAGAAGCAGCAAAGGGAGATGGAAACACTTCTGTCCGAGGCAGACGAAGGGATTTGGGCAATCTAGAGTTGCAACTCAAGGAGGCTATCAAGAACCTTCCCCAACGGAGGGAACCTTCGCCGGACTCAGCAAACCCAAAATCACCTTCACCGACAGATCCCGAGAGTAAGGGTAGGAGATTGCATTCACGGTCTGCTTCGGAAACAATGTTGGCCTATGCAATCGGTGGCGGATGTAGTAGTGGGAGCGATGATGACGACGAAGGCTATCGGATAGCACCACCTATGATACGCAAGAAGAGCGGAGAGGTTGTTAAATCGTCCCTCAAGACACCCAACCGATCACGACCTTCAAGCATGCCGTCTACCCCCACATTTCCCAAGGCTGTTCACTTTGACTCACACATCGAGCACGTCCGACACTTTTTGCATTCAGAGAGGCCATCAGCAGTTAGTGCCGGATCATCTCCGGTTGAGTCGTACGATGGTGAGACCGAATTCCCCTTCAGCGGTGAGGATTCCTTCCGGTCTCGGGAACCACCCTTCGAATGGGAGATTTCATTGCCAAACTTCCCCAAGGACTCCGATTCCAGGAAACATATGCCTGTCAGGGTTGAGCGAGTTGTTCTGTCGACTGATAAGAAGAACTTGATTGGTACCGTTGCTGTTTCCAACATTGCCTTCCAGAAGTCAGTGGTGGTCCGATTCACTTTGGATTACTGGGAAACTGTCTCAGAGGTATCTGCGGAGTTCAACAATGATGTCAGGAAGAAGCAGAGGGAGGAGGGCGTTGATCGATTTAGTTTCAACATCAAGCTGGTTGACCAGGCCAATCTTGAGAATAAACTCTTGTTCTTCTGCGTTCGCTATACCAGCGGCGGCCAGGAATTCTGGGATAACAATAACAACATAAACTTCCAGGTCGAGTTCAAGAAGAAGGCTAAGCCTCAGAATGGCAAGAATGGGGGTGCGAGACCGCTTCCACGATCCTCCAAACCTTCCTCTTCTAGACCTCGCACATTGCCCGGTAACTTTGGCGACGATTTGGAGAGCTACGATGATGCCGGGATCTTCGAGAAACTCAAGAATGCCGAACTTCCCGAGCCGAAGCCACTAAACCTTACCGATACCACTGAGTCATTGGCGCGTCGAGCAAATCCGTCCGGTAACGCTTTCGGTAACAGATATGACTTCACTGCTTCCTTGAGTGCCGCTATTCAGGCTCACGCCTCCGAAGCAGTTCCGGGAAGGAAGATGAGGAGGAGGACCATCAATTTTGATGATGTTGATAGCTCGTACTTCAAGTCGGCGAGCCCTCCAAGCCCGGCTTCCGAAGAACCCAAGGTGCAGGTTGTTCCGGCTCTTAAGCCTTCTTCTCCCATCTCATCCCTTCCTAGATCCTCAAGGAGCGCAGTCAGAGATACTACATCTCTCGATAGCCCTCCCGCTAGTGGTGCTGGGTCCCCAACAAGGGGTTACAAGCCAGCTCCATTCACTGGCGGCAAGCCTTCGATTGAATCTTCTTCTTACCGGGAATTGATTGACAATTACTGCTTCGTAAGTAAAACCTTTCTAACCTCTTTTTAGTTCGTCCGCTAATATCGGCCAGTTTGGGTCGTCAAAGGCTTCCCCTCAGCTCACACAGGGTGCCGAGATTCATGATAAGATGCATAATCCGACAAATCTTAATCCAGCCCTCTATTCGGGCGCTGTATTCACTACTGATGCGGGGTCCGGGTCCCCGCTGCCAGAGACGGCTATCAGTCCACGATATGTGTCACCGCCTTCGCACAGTTCTCCGCCTAGTTCGCACAAATCATCCGGCAATGCCTCTCCTATTCCAGCAAATTATGCTGGATTTCATCATCGCAGAAGGGCTTCTGGTGCATTCAAATTTACTCAGGCGCCGACAGCTATCTGTTAAATATCCTTGATCGTTTAGGTCCCAGTCATGCACTGGTCCATATAGGTTTCTACTTGGATAAGGTTATCACAGTTTTCTTTTTTTCTTTTCTTTTCTTTTCTTCTTTCCGAAAGGTTCTTTGGAGGAACAAATGGGGTGTATAGCGGGTTGGAGAACGCCATTGGAAGGGAAGGATTGAAGTTCGAAAAGTTATCCTGATACAGGATATTGGAATGTTTACGGCGGACATGAGATGATTACGACTCATGAGACTGTACACTCGCGAGGTGTACCTTCGCTCGGACCCTCGCTTTGTCTTTTGTTCTTTGTCAATTTTTTTTCCCTTGGTGTTGATCGTTTGGCTTTTTTTTATTCTTGCATTGTTTTACTATTGTTTTATTTGTTTTTTCTTTGCCATACTCTTACGGAGGAGTAGCGACTACTCCTACGCAAGAAGAGGCGGTGTGTTCTTACTACAGTATAGTTTCCTAACTCTGTTTTTCTGCGGGTTCTTCGGGGTTCTCTTTTACGATTGCTTTTTTGCGATGTTTCCCCCTGCATTTCAACTCGCAAGTCGGATTTGTTACAGCGGTGGTAGTTGTAACTCCACTTCAAAAAAAAAACCCCCCCCTTCTCGCCTGAAATTATCATACTTTCTTATGGGGGGTTTATGTTTTAACCATTAGAGCGTCCAGGCTTTTATCTTCCTCTCAGGCTCTTGCTTTGCGTTTTTTTCTTTTCTTTTTTTTTCTTTTGCAGATTTTTCATGTTATTGATTTCATCATTTGCCTTTTTTTCCTCTTCGGGTTCGGATTTCTCTTCCTCGTTTTCTATTCTTCATTCGACTGGCTGTGACGGAATAGGGATTTCAGTGCGGGCTGGGGTGGGTCGGAGGGGGTGGGATAGGGCTTCTTGCCAAGAGCGATGGATCGATACGGTTTTTCACGGTTTAATGGACTTACTCCATTTTTTTATGGGCATACACTCAACTATATTTCTCAGGCGTCATCAGGCGTCAAGAGGAATGGCAACAAAAAATCGTGGAAACAAAAGCAGAGGCAGGAAAAGAAAAAAGAAAAAAAAAAGAACAAGCTCATGAAAGTCACCAAACGAACTAAAATCTTTGTATTATTGCATTGTACACATACTCGAGTAGCATATCGTTGGAATTTTATCCTTTTTATCTGTCAATACACTGGTATCCCTTTCAAGTTACATTTCATGATTTACACATCTATCGCTGGGAGGAGGCTCTAGAAGGGTTTTATTCCATTCTGTCCGTTCGCCGATAGATTGGAATGGCGTGAGAGAGGGGGAGAGCAGATAGGGCGGTTCATGCTGTAACAACTAGAGATAAGCATCCTGGCGTGGCACAGGATTGATTGATGGACAGTCTAGCCAAGTCTCGTCTTCTTGTCCTGGTTACGGTACTCTTGGGATCCTTTCTCTCTCTCTCCCTCTCTCTCCCTTATCCCTCCCTATGATACCGGTATCTCTCGGTCGTAAACAGGCATGGCCCACCCAACACCGCCATACTGGCTTGACTGATGGTGTGCTGATTTACCCAACCTCTATTCCGCTCGATAAAAAGGTGGGGTGTGTGGTTGTCAACGGGGGTGCTAGCAGAGTTATTTACAGTGCTTGACAGCGGAGTATGATATTTCCTGTAAGACTATCCCATCCATCCATCCCTCTCTCCTGTGTGCCTGCCTGTCTGTCCGGCCGTAACTTGTGTACCTAAGTACAAGCACGGTTATGAAGGGGAGGGGGAGAGGTGGAAAAAAACGGTATTCGATTGTGATGATATTAATTCAGGGAGCCATACTAGAGTAAGCCCCCATCCATCACTCATTCATACTCGAGACTAGCGCATTGGGATTATTCTGGTGATGGTACCGAAATGTTGCTTGAGGTGGTTGGGTTGAAGGGAAAGGTGGAAACAGGTTTGTACCATGCGTACCGGACTGTAGGGAATGCGCGGGTTTTGTTTGTTTGTTTGTTTGAGCTTTCGAATACCGTATAGGCTGGGCTAGGTTGGGTTGGGGGATTAATTGTTTTTTCATGGGGGGGGGAGGGGGGGAGGGGGGATTGTGAATTGGTGGTGCTAACGGTTTGTTTGAATCGAAGTACCGGTAAACGGGGTTGATAGGATATTAGCCAGTGAGGGGTTAGGTATGGGAAGCTTGTATGACTTTTCTTGCTTTTCCTGTTCATTACCCGCTATTTTCTTGCCTGCTTGTCCGTTTTCCTGGCTCCCCTGGGTGCCATATATATATATATATATGATACATATTTCTCGTAAAATAAAGCTTTTACTTTTTTCAATGTTCGCGGAGGAAAGTGAAAGACTGGCACCGGATCAAGTGGGAAATATACGAATTTTATATCTGCACCCTTTCTCTTCCTTTCTCTTCTTTTTTTTCCTTCCTTCCCTCCCCTCCCTTCCTCCCTCCCTTCATTCCTTTCTCTTTTCTTTTTTTTCTCTCTCTTCTTTTTTCTTGAAGAGAGAGTCTAGTCCGTGATTTGGTGATAATGAGTTATAGACAGGATGGGATGGGATGGGATGGGATGGGATGGTCTGAATTATGATACGATGTTTCTTTATCCCCTCCTCCTCCTCCCAGTACCGGTACCGGTACCACAGACAGCCGGCCATCATACCAAAAGTCTCACAGTTAGGAGTAACCGGTATCATACAAATGGAATTTAGACCGGAGAAATATTAGCCATAGCTATAGCCAACCAGATAGCACTCACTCCATCCCATACACGGTTCATCCAATTTTTGTCTTTTATCCTTGTCCTTGTTGGGATCGCTGCCGCTTGCTCGTGCCTGCCTGCCTTCCTTCCTTCTAGGGTAATCTAATCTATCTAGTCTATCTATGATATCCACGGCCCCCTTCCCTCCCCCTCCCCCTCCCCCTCCACACTAGGGGACTAACCCCCGCCCCGCCAACACCGATAACGAGAAAATAAGACGAGACAAGACGAGACGAGACGGGACAATGCCGACCACTGCAGCAGATCCCCACTACTCCGCCTCACCCTAGTCTCCACCTTCCCCCTCCTCCTCCTCCTCCCACCCGCTTTCCCTCTACCCGAAACCACCGGTAGGTACAGTACTAGTACGAGTACAGTACTCGTACACCATGATACACAACGATAGACCATAGTACCCCCCATCACGTTACCGTATTCCCCATCACGCTTTTTTAACAGCAATTAGCAAATAGAAACCCCGCCCACATTCGTACCGTATTCCCTTTTTTTTATATTTTTTTCTTCTTACTTCCCCACAATACCGTACCGTACCTTTCCTTTCAACCTTTCCCACTCCCGACCATACTCTCTCTCTCTCTCTCTCTTACTCTTACTCGAGTACCGTAACTTATCCCAACTTGCCGCACCCAGCCTCATTCTCCTCCTCCCCTTCCTTCCCCACCACCCACCCCCCCCCCTCCACACTCTACCATACCCTTGCCTTATCCACCCACTTCACCCGTTTTAAATCCACTATACTTATTCTCATTCTATTCATTTATTTATCTATTTATTTATTCCCGATTACACCGTACCCCATACACCAACGCCAACTCCATGTTCAGGAACCTGAGATTCCCGCTCGCACGGGCCTCTACCCTCTCCCCCTCTCCACCTGCTGCCCGGCGATCGCAGTGGGGAAAGTACGAGTACTCCAGCGGCGGAAGCGGAGAAGCGCAATTGACGATGCCGGACCACCTGGATGACCAGGAGAAGGGGATATTCAGGAAATTGGCGGGGGAATTGAGGCCTAGTCGTCTAGAGGTATGCTTACTTACTTACTTGCTTGCTTGGTTCCCTTTTCCTTTTGGCCCTTTATTTCTTTTACTTTTGGAAAAATGAAAATGAAAAAAAAAAAATGAAAAGAAAGAAAGACTAGCATAAGAATGAAAGAAATAGAGCGAGAGAGAGAGAGAGAGAAAGAATGGCGGGGTGGAGAAGAGAGCATACCGTACGTTTTACGTAAATGATCACTACAATTACATTTATATAAAATTAGTTGGGTGAAATACCTCATGTACTCGTACTTTTTTTTTTTTCTCACTTTTTTTTTCCTTCCTTCCTTTCTACCTTTTTCTA